CACACAGGCACACGGCACCCCTGAGCACTCACACACAGCCACATGCCAGGCCTAATGCACTCAGATGCACGCTCACACCCTTCGTGTGTACATTCACCCTCACACACTCAGAAAACATGGCCTAATACAAACGCTCAGAAAAATCTAGGGTGCACACCACTAAGGTGCCAAGGAAGGCAAGCCCTGGTCGTGCCTCTTGGGGCCAAGCATGACTTGTAGAGGCCACAGGCCTCTCTCCTGTCTCCAGGTGCTGAAGCAGCAACCTTTACAGTGAGCCACAGAGCACTGGCTGCTCCCCCCTGGTGCTTCCTCTGCACCAGAGGCCTCGAGGCCAGGCTCTCCTGTGTGGAGGTCCAAGCCAGGGACGCAGGCGGGCCAGCCCTCCTGTGGCTTTGCTGAGACAGCCAGTAGTGGACAGGACAAAGGTGAGGGCCTCTGCTCTGGCTCCCTGAGAAGACTGGCAGAGATGTCGGCCATGCTGAGGACTTCATGTCTGACTAGCACCAGGGACGGGGTGCCTGGGATGGAAGGTGATGTCACTTTAACAACTTTGGCAAGTTTCAGTTACAAGATCCCAAAACCCTAAATCTCTTCTCTGTTACATTTTATGGTTTCCTACTTCCTGCTAGATACTTTCAAGCTCTTTATTTATTGTTTTAAACTTGGTAAAGTCATTTCTTTCATCTCCTGGGTCCAGTAACTCCAAAATCTGATCTCTGTAGTGACCTGCTTCTGGCGTTGTCTGGTGGTTCTGTCGGTTCTGCACACAGCGCCTGTGTTCTGGGCGTCTTGGCATCTTCACGTGCGCGCTGCTCATTGCTTTTCAAAGAGAATCTGCAACTGAGCATGAATAAGTTCCTCTACCACAGAGCCTTGTCCTTTTCTTCTGCCAGGTACCTAATATACTTCCAGGCGAGAGCTATACAAACCCAGGCTTGAGGTTTGAGGGTTCACTCAGACTATATGTGCCCAGGTGTAAGTCTCTACAGTGTTTATAGTCAGCGGCCACCTCAAGGGTACCTGCGTATCACCACCACCACCACCACCACCATCATTTGCTCCTTTCCTGGTCTGCTCAGAATAGCCATTCCTGCCCTACCTAACTTGAGAGGGAAAAATGTGAGTTGAGCTCTAGGTCAGCCCTGAATATATGTCTATTTGGGTTCCAACTGAATTCAGGAGCATATGCCACAAAACCCTCCAGCCATGGCTCCTTGGGCCTCAAATTCTGTCTCCTTTGTGCCACTGAGCCACTAACTAAAGGTGTAAGTGAGCCACACAGGTAGTCACTATCACCTGTGAACTTCCTGGGAATTTCTCTATTACGTTTTTCAGAACTTCAATATATTTTAAGTAATATTTAAATGAGAATTTTATTCAGCATTTAATAATTGTTTTTAACAAGAAAGTAGATCTTAATAACCTAGACCACAGTGACCAGAAACAGACTGTAAGAGAGTGGCCGCACTTTGAGAGCTGCGTGGGACATCTGCTACCAGAGTGGCTGGAGGCCACGTGTCCCTGAGGCCTGCAAGGCTCACCCAGGAGCTCCACGGATCCGTCATGTGCTCGCTAAGCATCGTACCTGAAGCCCTTGACTGTGCTGCCAGAAACAATTTCTAGGCAGAGACTCTGGGAAAGTGACTAGAGTGAAGTCCAGAAAGGCTGTTACCCGTGGCACCTTCGCACGGCACCTCTCCCATAGTGTTGTGTCTGGGTCTCCCACAGCGACACTGAGTCATTTCCCAACAGCAGATATTCTGGAGGGCATCCTGCAGCCCTTTGCAAAGTGGCCCACTTTAGAGCAACTCATCTGCCCAAGGCTTTTCCCAGAGCGCTCTCCGATGCCAACAGCCCACTCTGACGCGCTGGCGAGCTACGCGTGGAGCGCGCAGGCACCTTCATCTCACCTCACCAGGAGAAACTGCAGAGTTGAGTGGCTCCTTTAAAATGAACACATTTTAATGCTTGCCCCTTTTCCATTTCTCAGGTCAAAACGACAGTCCCTGAACGAGGGGAGCTCCAAGGAGCGCTGGCAGGCCAATGGATGAAATCACAGGGCCGCTTCCTGAAAGCAGGACCGAGCAGCATGCAGCTTTCTAACTGAACCCCACTTGGCTCTACCGTGCACGGGGTCACTGCACGTATGACTCACGCTCCCCTTAGAGCTTTCCCATCTCTTCGTAAGAGGCAGAAGAATTTATAGAGGCAAAATAGGCAAGGACGTTTTTTAGAGGATATGCGATGCCGTTCATCCATAATGACATCTCGGAGGTTATTTTGTCCTCCCTGGTCTCATATAAGTCATGTTGATGTAGTGAAATTTTTGTAAAATTCATAACCAAAATGTTATATTGTACAAAAAAAAAAAAGCCTAAGTACTTCCAGCCGAAGTCCTAATGAAACCCGTTTTAGCTTAACATCCACCATGACCAATGGAAATGCTCCTCTCGAGAAGGCTGAGATTTTATTAGTCCTGATCCTGGAAGCATCTCCTCACCCTTGCTTTAAGGTACCTCTGTGATTACTGTTTGAAAATTCAGTCCCAAACATGTAAAAAATAGTGCTTTTTGTACCATAAAACACTCAGCTTTTTAATCCATTTCAGTTCTTCTTTCTAACTAGGGCGTTAGATGATAGATCTCATCAATATGCCATATTAAAAAACAAGAAACTGAGTTTCTTTTGATTTACCTCCTACCACCAGGCATTTTTTGAGAAGCATATTTTTACAGAGCACATCAGGATCATAAATGTGTTAATGCATAAAACATCCCATCATTCTTGCTATCTCCTCCAGAGAAGGAAACAGTGATAGAGCGAGATTAATGGGTGGACAAAAGCCGTCCAGGAAATGAGCAGCGGGTCTGGGATTGCACTCGGAGTTCCTGCCACCCACTGTGACACCGCTGTGACACTCCCCCAGCTCCCAGGTGCCATGAAAAGTGCCGGGCGGATTGGGGAGGGGAGGGGTCTGCCGACCCACGCTGGCGGGGTTTGCTGTGCAAGGGACCACAGAGACACAACTGTAGACGCAGAGAGGAGCCTGGTTCCATTCCAAGGCGCACACAAGTTTCCTGCTGGGTCAAAGAAGCTGTGCAGCAAAGGAATCTGAGGCTGGAACCAGAGAAGTGCTGAGGCCGCTGGACTGCAGACCCTCAAGGCATTCCCGGCTCTGCAGCTCCGCCAGGGGCCCTGGGCAGCTCCCAGGCACCGCACCCCCCTCCTCTCCAGCTGTGCCTGGAGCCCAAGGGTGTGCTCTGCAGCCTCCGTGGCAGGTAGGACCGCTGGGATGGCAAGTCGTCGGAAGGTGAGTGTCCACAGATTCAGAAAGCCAATGTGCAGAAAAGGAAATACAAGTGGACATGGCGTGTCTGAATTATTGTTTCAGGCTTGAACTCCCCCAGAGAAGCCATGTGTGCATGCATCCAGTGTGAGCCAGAGGCTCTGTCTTATTTGTAGGCTCCTTGTTGAAGGCAGTGGTGTATTTCACAGTAGGAAGAAAGTCTTTGGGGCCAGAGAGATGCAGGTTCAGATCTCAGGTCTGCCACTGTCCCTGTGCCCCTTAAGGAGTGGCTTAAACGTCTCAAACCCAGCTCCCTTTCATAAGATAGGAATGCTCTCTCCCAGCCTAGTGGTGTTACGAAAGAAGGAAGGAGGGAAAGCAAGCTGATAGCTTCAGTCTGTATTGAGACCATGGTAAATAATTGTCATTCATAATGTGCCAGCTACAGTCACAAACGGAGCACACCGTGTAGAAATGTGTCCCCGCACACACCAAGAGGTGAGGCAGGTGGGCCACAAGGTGCCCGGCGCGGGCAGGAGGGCTCTCCTCAGTGCTTTGGTAGCCTGCCTCACCAGCTGCCACTGACCGTACCACATGCAGGACCGTCAACTGCCTGCAGCAGGTGGGACAGGGAAGGCCCTGGGCTCCGTCCAAGCAGACAGGGCTGTGGACACAAGGCCTGGGGACACCGTGCAGGCACCCAAGCCTGGGTGGGGAAGCGCTTGACAGACCCTCTGGCACAGACTGCTTCTCAGGAACTCAGTGAATCTGTCGTAAGCATCTTCCATGCATTACAGCAGCTGCAGAGAAAGATTTAAGAAGTGACATAAATCTCAAAGCCCCCGAACCCCAGAATCCAGTGAGTCCACGCCCACCCACGGAGAGCCTCCAGCTGCCCTTGGCCGAGGCGGCGGCAGGCAAACCTCTGGGTCCCTGTGGGCCGAGGCCAAAGGTCAGAAGGCCATCTCCAGGCTGCTGCGCCGTGCCTCTCTGTGCCTTTCAGGGCCAGGACTTGCCTGGCTCCTGCGAAAGCCCCTGGACTCAGGGCACTCTGCACGCCATGGGCACTGGAGACAGGGCGGGCCTCAGCTGCCACCTGAAGACCACGAGAGGGCCTAAGGAGAGACAGGAGAGGCCCATGTCCCTCCAAATCAAGCCGGACACACACACACACACACACACACACACACACACACACACACACTCAGGCACGTGCACACACACGCACTTTCAGCTGCTTCCTCTACTGTGACTCAGCTCATCCCAAGCCCTCGGGCCCAGGCCTGCGAGCTGGCATTTTCTCTCCACCACCCCCGCTGACTGCCCCTGCTATTTGGATGGATCAAGTGTCCAGTCTTCAAAAGCTCCAACTCCCCTCTATCTGGGGTCACATTTTAGTTATTCTCTGTACTAACAGTTGGAACTTCTCTGCAGCTGCACAGTCACGTCGCATTCTTTTTCCATCTGTCTACTAAGATTTTCTCCATTTTGTTTGGGGCCTTTTCGTGGAGTTGAATTGCTTATCTTTGTCAACTACAAGAGAAGCAGGGGGTTGGAAGGAGCAAGGCATTTGGGGAAGTGCAATCATTTGCTAAGCCTTACACTTTTAAAGTGATTAGCCAAGGCTTCAGAAATTTCTCAGTGACTGGAGTATGGAACCAAATAAAAAACCACAGAGATATTTGTAGCTTAAATGTTCTTTAAGTAACTGCATTATTACCACAGCTCCCCCGAGGCTTCCTCTTTTTGCAGATTGCACGTTGTCACCACTTCCTAAATAGCTGGCCTTATTAAAACACTACAGGCCTCTGTAAAACATATCTCAAGCTTTGAATAATCTAGCTTCTGTGTTGGAAGCGAGGCCTGATCTTGTTCCTACCAAGTGCTAGCTTGGGTTTTACCTCCTGAAGCAAAGTGAGCAAGTTGGAGAGGGAGTGTGGAGTGGGCTCTGTGTGCCCCATACCACGGTCCACAGGGGCGGCTGGAGCAGAGCTTGGGGATGGGGTGGTGAGACCGTGACACCCTCAGAAGGATTTCAGGAGTGCTCAGGGCTTGGGTGACTCAAAGGTTTGGAAGACAGAGAAGCCCTGAGTGCCAACCCCTCTCTGTCAGCCTCAGTGCTCTGCTCGTCTTTCCACTTCTCCACCATTCGCGTAAAACCCCATCATTCCTGGCAAGAGTGGAACAGCATCCATGGGCCAGCTGCGCTCCTGTGCTGCTACCTGCTTTCGTTGGCCTGCTAGCAGAGTGGTGGCCCAAGTGCCCAGCCCTGTCCCTGCTGCCTGATCACAGCTGGGGGCGCTGCAGGCTGGGATGATGCTGCTCCTTCCCTGGGGCGTGGGCCTACTGCCCTCTTCTGCCCCTTGAACAAAGCGTGCTCAGAGGGCAGAGAGGGTGTGAGGGTCCTCTGCCTCTGTGGCAGAGTGTTTTGCAGTAGGACCTTTTTCTTTACACTGTCTTAGTCCCAGTAGCCAAGCAGAGATGAGTCTCAGGTAGGTAAAAAACAACTCAAAGCACTTCTCTAGAGGCAAATACTATATGAGTAGAGATCCCAACAGAGCACTTCTGCCCAAGTGCTGGCCTAGGCCTCAGCTCCGAAATATGCTTGTTTAAACTCTTATCACCGCCTGATGACAATCCGTCCCGGCTTTTCTGGAAGGGTTGCAAGTCCGCCATTTCCTGCAATTCATCAAAACCGAGTTTCTAAACGGTTTTGACTTTCTTCAGAAATACGGTCATACATCACCATCATGGGAGTCCCCAGAGCCTCTCGTCCCAGTATGGCTGGGTCACCTCTCAGAGCCCTCCTGCTCACCAGAGGAAGCTGTAGCCTGCAGTGACCGCTGATGAGACCTGTCTAACCCAGGAGGGGTGGCTCTTTGTGATCCAGACTGCAGATAGGTTGAATGAGCTTAGCTCCCCCAAGAGCTAGAGCAAGAAAACATAAAACAAGCTCCCCCCCCCAAAAAAAAATAGTGCAGTGAGTATCTGAAAAGTCTGTGGTTTGACGGAGAAGAAACAAGGTTGCCTGGACCGGAAGCAGGAAAATGATAACGAGCAAGCAGAGCATGCTGGGAAGGGGAGCAAGAAGGGAACTCTGCGCTGGGAGGAATCTGGGCCGCAGGGCTCCGCCGGGCACCTGTCTGCGCCCAGGTGTCTCGCAGCACGGCTGCCATGCCATGCTCGGGGCTGGGAATCAGCAGACCCACAAAGTCTGCCTAGGAGCCCCGCTCTTTGTCTCCTCTGAGGCCAGGTGTGAGGTGAAGCAGCCGCTGTGATGAAGGGACGCTGTCTCCTGAGGCCACAACCACGGCCCACCTTGCCATCTTGTTCCGGCACCTCCCAGTACCCTTGGGGCTGCCCTGGAGCAACACACAATTCCACTGCCTGTGGGTCCCAAAGGCCTAAGTCCCAGTGAGCCCAAACCAAGAAGCCCCTACAGCTCCTTCATCCTTTCACCCACGCATCTCACGTTTCTCAGGCACGCATCATCATTCCACGTTTCTTTTGGGTGTGAAGTCAGAGGTCACGCTCACAGCTTGCTGGAGACGCATTCTAGGGCTCCCAGGTCAGGGCTGGCCCACTTGGCCCTGATCAGGCGCCGTGGCCAGTGCTCCTCTAACGCGCCTTCCACCCACAGGGCAGGGTGGCAGGCAGCCCTGAAGGGCTGGCGGCCGGGAGGCTCGGCTGTGCACTCCTTGCTGTCTAGTTGGAAGATGGAAAGTAGAGGAAAGAAGCACTTCTTCACAAGAGGAGGGCGGTTGGGAGACACCAGCTGGGAAGGAAGAAGCCTGGGAAACCCGCGCTCTGCTTCATTTCCATGCGCAGCCCGAGGCTATGGCCCTTGATTGGGGAATAGGAGGTGGCTTTGGATGCCGTCATTTCTGTACTGGAAGAGTTCTTCTTTGGTTATAGTTCTTCTTTTCATGTTATATGCAAATTAGCATGTTAAATATGCTTAATCTCATGTTTTTAAATTCATAGCTGAGTCAAATTGGGTGGTTACTAAGTGTACTTAGCCACAGTGCAATTGATCGTAATTACACTGGCTAACATTTAAGCTTCAAAGAGGAGCTGCAGCAGGACACACACCCATGCATGCGCAAGAACTGCTTCCTGCTAACATAAACTGGAAAATTTTAGGCAACAGAGAGAACCAATACGCTTCCTTATGAAAATCTGAGAGCTCTATGAAAATGAGGTGCCTGCGCTACTTCCGCTAGCTCCCCAATTGCGCTTTTCAGAGTTGCCATATTTCCTGTTTCCCTGGTTACGTGCTATTTCATAATTGTACAGATTGATCCATGTCCTGATTATTTCAGAGCAGGATTGAAAATTGGAGCAGCGTGAAGAGAGAGATGGAAACCTCGTAATTTATTCTTGTGAAATGCAGCTTCTTCCTGGTTGAACTTTCCCTGCCAGTGGGTTCCCTGTGAAGGCCGCTAGGCCTGGTCCCCAACTCTGTGGGAAGGGATCCCCGGTCACCACCAGACGCTTGCAGTTGAAACCACCTGATACATCAGAAAGCAAGCTCTGACTTGTTTAGTCCTGGGCTAGGAAAGGGGAAGCTGCCCTCAAGTAAACCAATTTCCAAAAAGCACCGCGCCTTCCTCTTGCAGCGGTTGGGCCCCAGCCCCAGGGACTTGTCCGCACAAGGGTGCTTGGGGAGACCACAGCACTTACCCTGGCCACACTCTGCTAGTGTTTCAGGTGGGCCTTATTTCAACAGGCAAGAAGTCAACTGTGAGAGGGTGGACCCAGCCAACAGAACTCTGATGGGGCGCCACCAAGGGGCCCGCAGGCTGGCCGGGGGAGCAGAGCGGTGAAGAGCGAGCTCTGCAGGCTGGATTTCGTTGGCTCAGCTGAGCACAAACAAAGGCCCTATAAATCAGTTGCATCCAGTGAACGAGTCACCTACCGGGTTAGCAGCGGGCGCAGCCTTCCCACTTCCTCTTAAGATGCCCCCAAACTGAAACGTGAAAACAAAAAGCATCTATTTTCCTGCTCAAACCAAGTCCATCTCTCCTCCGCCCACAGCGCGCACCGCAGGATGAGGCTTTGTTGTGAAGGCCGACCGCGGAGGTCGGGCCTGAGCTCTCCCCTTCTGCTCCCCTGGAGGAGTCGTGGCATGATCTTGGCGTCGTGGCCGCTTTACAGAGGCCCTGTTCATGCTCCAGCGCATAGCTGGTGCCACTGTATCTTCCCCAGTAACCTCCCAGCTTCCTGATGTTGATGCCCAGGGGTCTGCGTGGCGCTGGGTCCGAGGCTGAGGGGCAGGTCTTGGGCCTGCTGTGGCCCAGCTTGAGGACACTCCTCACCCTGTCACACCCCGAGGCTGGCGTACCGCGCATGCTGAATTGTGGGTGATGGCAGAGATGCTTACCCCCATTCCACAGGGCAGTACTGCCAGGCAGATGGGCATTCTGTCTTTGAGGGCGTATACACAACCTCAGATGAATGGCATGTACGCCTGTAATCCCAGCCCTCGGGATGCTGAGGCAGGAGGATCCCATGAGTTTGAGGCCAGCCTGGGCTGCAAATTGAGCTCAAGGACAACCTGAACTGTGACATCCTGTCTCAAAAGAAAAGACAAGGAGTTAGAATCGCCCTCCTCCACCAGATCTGTGCTGAACACCCCCACTGCTGCTCCCCCCTGTGCGCTGCAGGGTTCCAGGCCCCGGCTTCCAAGCCAGGCCCCCAAGAGCCTCCCACAGTCGCCCTGTCTTCCCTCTTGGAGCAGCCCTTACCCGTGCTCCGCAGCTCTCCCACCTCATTTTGCCATAAGGATGGAGAGTTTCGAGTGTTCCCTGGCTTCCTAGCGGGAAGGGTGCTGGGAACGGTAAAATCCGAGAGCAGGCGCTGGATGCCTCCTGCTCAGACACCACGGAGGTCTCCTGCTGCGCCGTCCAAGGCCGCGGTGCTCGTCTGAGTCCCTACCAAGGGCTCTCGGTGCTGGGTCCCGGCGTGAACCGCGCCCGCGCTGTGTGGGCTGGGAAGCCCGGCTGGGGCCTGCAGGAAAGGCGCCCCTACCCCGCGCCCCACGCCACCCACACACAACGTTCTTGTCTTGTTGCCACTTTCTTCTCCTCCTCCTCCCCCACTTGTCCTCACTGTAGAATCTGCTGCTGCAGGAGGCAGGCAGCTGCGACGGGCGCACACGGCCCGGAGTCGGGGACGCTGGGCGTCCTGCATTTTCAATTACTGAGGACTGAATGGATCCCGTGCTTTCCTCTCTTTTTTCTTCTGGAAGCAGCTCTACTTCCCATTTCCTCCTGGACACATCATCTTGATTTAGAACCCAGCCACCCTGGGCAGGAGGAGGTTTGAAACAAAGACGATGCTCCTGCCCTCAGCCATTTGTCCCCTTCCCCTGAGATCTTTCTAGAAGACGCTTCAGCCTTCATGAAGAACGCAGGGCCAAAGCGACCCTGCAGAGCCGACCCGGGAATCCCACAGCTTGCCCGCAGGGGCAGCGGCGCGTTGGGAGCTGGGCCCGGCGGTCTCCCCGCCCCCCGCAGGGCTACCTCCGCGCCGGCCCCTTCCGCACCTGCGCGCGGGGCTGAGGGCGGGGCCCGCCGCCCTGCGTCTGCTCTCACCTCTCTCCGTGGCGGATGCCTTGACTAGGGGCTGCTCAGTAGCTTCCGCCTGAAGAGCACCTGACAGGAGCACTCCTGACCCCTCTTGCTTAAGAAACAGAGGCGGAGTTGGCATCTCTTGTCCCTAGGTTCTGCAAGTGAACCTCTGTCCTGGGGATCCGAGGCCTGTAGATGGGACGTGTGTCAGCAGCTTAAAAACATTTTTGTTTGAGACACTGTGACAGTGCCGGACACAGTGTTGACTGCCTGGCCAGCGGGGGCAGCAAGGCCTGAGTTCACGGGTGGCCCCTAAGAAGCCCCTGCAGCACGGCAGCCCCTCGATCACACGTAGACGATGGCTCATTGCACTCGAGTGACGGTGACACCAGATCTGTGCCCTAGGCTGCTAGCATTTGGGTCCCTCAGAGGCCACAGAAGGAGGAGCCTGCCGTGTGCAGCCCGCGCCGCTAAAGTAAAGATTTTGTTTTAGTGCAAGAAACTGGTTTCCGGGGCTTCACAACCGTTGAAGTGCCCGGCCCTGAGCGCAGCGCGCAGCTCTGCACCGGACTGGCGCTGGGGCCATGGGCTGGGCTGATGTGGACGCCAGCGCCCACCAGCTTCACCAGGCTTCTTCCTGCTCCGCGCAGCTCCGCGCATCCTCAGCATCATCAGGTGGGTCTGGCATACACTAAAGCCCACCTCCCTGAGGGCGGCCAGAGGAATCCAGGACAGTCAGCTGAACCAGGACCTCTGAGAAGCCACAGGTGACTTTTTATTTACATATGGTCTCAGTTACTTTTCTCTTGTTGCTGGAACAAAACACCTGACACGACGACCATCAGCCACTGCATAAGCTGGTCTTCAGCCCTCTGCTCACCGGGAACAACTGTCCTCCAGTTGGCCCTAGGTTTCCTGACTGAAAACCCCTGCTTGTAAGGAAGAGCCGGTTTCACTCACGGCCAGTCAGAGAAGCTAAAACCTTCTCCCTGAAGAAGGCGATTGACTTGTGACTTTTCTGGGTGCTGAGACAAAATGTCCAGCACCCACAAGTTAGGGGACGAAGGATCATTTAGCTCACAGTGTGCAGGCCACAGTAGACCAGGTCCAAGGCAGGGCAGCGGGTGGAGGAGAAGCAGTAGCGAGCAGTAAGCCCCAAGCACTGACCAGCCGGCTTTCTGTCCAACTGACCCACCCTGAGGGTGGTGCACTTACACTCAGCAAGTTCTGCCCCTTATTCACACCCAGAGCCACTCCAGTCCAGTCAGTGGACTGATTTAGTGGCCACATGCCCGTGGTTCCAGCACCACACCCCCCAGATCCAGCCGCCTCTGAAAAGCACCCCCATGGCCACATGAGGCTTCGAGGGGATCTAGACACAGCCACGGCAGTGGTGACAGCGGTCTCCAGTGCACTGAGCTAAACCAGGTGAGCCATGCACCAAGCTGCTGAGAATTTCAGTGGACAAAGCAGAGTGACACACCTCTGGTCTCCTGGAAGATGCCTCCAGGAAACAGATTTAGCGAAGGCAGGCACAGCCCACGAGTGACTTCAGCGTCGGCGCATCACAGGCGAGCTGGTGCCCTGCTGTGTGCTTCTGGTGCCTCTACACTCGCACTTCTGCTCACGCGAGCAGAGGCCAGCAGCGGCTCTCACGGGCGGCTGCGAAGGTGTAGGCGGGAGCAGCTGACAGGAGAAGCCTTGTGGCGTGCTTATGCACGTGGCAACTGCTGCCAAGTCAGCAGCTCTTGGGGGAGCTGGCAAGATCTCCAGAGATTGTTCCGGAGGGCGGCTGAGCATCAGGGCCTGGTGCTGTCCGGCCCGGCCACGCCGACCTGCGAGCCACACGCCACCCGCTACCTAATCTTTCCGATCAACTCGATGTCTCCAGTGTTCTGTAACTCCTTAGCATGCCATGGAAACAGCTGTGAGACAGGAAAGCCTGTCAACCAAAGAACTCCACTTGTATAAAATGCAGGATTTGCACACTGTCTTGTGTGATATTTTTAAGTCATTTTTTTGGTAACCTGGAATCGAACTCAGGACCTTACATTTGCTAGCAGACACTGTGCCACTGAGCCATATCCCCGACTCTTTTTTTCAGGCTTGACAACTTAAGTTTTTCTTCATTGATAAAATGAAGCCCTGAAATATTTTTTTTTCCAGCAGTATTTCATTATACTTAGATTATACACCTCTTGACCCCTCATGACTAGGATAAAAGTTATAATGATAGGTTTTCAGAAATGTCTTCCAGTGGAGGAATTCTTCGAAATCTGCCTCACAGCCTGGCTGGACTCAAAGTGTAATCCTCTCTCAAGATTCCTAGTGTATGAAGAGTGTAGTGACCACAAAGTGCTGTGTCCGTGTTCACAGACTACCAGGTACGGTAATAAGAACGACGTCTACACAGCCTTTGTAGGAAAGGCTGACCAAGGAATCCCCCAGCTGCACCGCTGACGCTGCTAGGAAAGACGAAGGGGAAAGGGGTTTATAATTTCTGGGTTGTATTTCTATTCGCAGTAGCTTGAACGCCTCCCAACATTTGCCTTTAGTACAGTGCTCTTTAAAAGTGCCTTCACACCCACAAAGGCATAACAGGGTCTGTTCCAGAAAAAGGAAATATTTGCATGAGATATTCCCCCCATTTATTGTTTTCAGCTCTCGTTGCAACATACAATGCTGACATCCGTCACTCAGAGGGGTGCAGGTAAGAGATCTGAGCCTCAGGAACAGGCCCCAGAGCCAGTCAGTCCCCTAGTGCAGGGCACAGCCTTTGCCCCTTGGGAATGTCACCTGGGAGACACTGTCTGCCAGTCTCACTTCTGCTGTGACCTTGTTTTGTTGTTGTTTTGAGAAAGACCTGCAGTCTCCAGGAGGCACTTTGAGCCTGGTGGCATTTCCCTCTCCCGACTGTGCAGCAAGGGATGCCTTTGTCTGCTGGTGCTTCATGGACAAGATATGGAAACAGTCGTAGGCTGAGCCCCGCCAGCCGCCAAGACCGACCCCTCCTCGCAGGTCCTGCTGCTCCTCCGTGGGCATCACAGAAAGGGCGCTGACACACAAGCTCCGAAGAAAAATTCCAACTTAGAGCTTTTGCTGATTTGCATGTGATAAACACTCACAGCAAAGCCAACCCCAAGTTGTCAACCAGGAAAGGACTGACAGAAGGCCCGAATATTTCTTATTGTGTTTGCCTGACCCATCTGAACTGCCTCTGACACATCAGAAACACTTTTGTCAGTATTAAACTACAGGTGAAAATGGGATGGTGGGCCGTGTGTACGTATGACTGAAAATGAAAACGTTTTAATATCTCTAAAGGCAATTTATGAAGTTATGCACTGAGTAGTGGCTGACATGTGGCTCCATGAGCTGTCTAAGTCGCCCAACAAGCACAGATGCCAGCCCTACGGAGGCGATGTGCTTGCTGAGAAGCGCAAAGATCCCAGGGTTGTTTTCTTCCCTGGACACCTACAATTCCCCAACAAGGCCAGTCTGGACTCCTGAATCTATAACACAACTGAGCGTGAGCCGTACTATCAGAAAAACTCAGTTTTTAACTGGAAAGCAAGACACAACCCCTAACCCTAAGAGGAGAAGACCAGTACATCCCCGAGAGTCTCAGGCCAACCTCAGGCAGGCCTATAATTTCTTCTTTAGTGTAAAGGCTTTGGGTTCAATCTCCAGTACCACCGGTGAATTTTTAAAAAATGAAAGTAGAACAGTTGTTCATAGTTTAGGTTAAAAAGGGAAAAAGGAAGATTTGCAATGAGCTGTAAAATTTTTAACCAAGTCTTCCCGAAGACAAGGTGGTGATCCCGCCTTGGGGTTACGGCTCATCACGGTGCCGAGCTCTCCTCTTTCTACTTCCACCACCAAAGTCCTATTTCTTTTCTGCTCCTAGAGCTGAGCTTAGACTATCT